ATTATTTCAGTAATGATATCAGAGAATGACAGAATATGCTAAATGCACAGGAAATTTTAAAAATTCTCATACCATTTTTGGCTTTTTTCTTCTTCAAAAATGCATATTTTTCTACTATTTTCAATTATATATATAATCAAACTGAAAAATATTTCAATTAACTTACTTTGTTATAAACTTTTGGTAGATAAGTAATGCATTTAAACCAGGAAAACTTTGCTGACCGGAAAATTATTTTTTCAGGGGAGACAACTTTGATTCAAACGTACCAAGAGTGACTGGACTTGTCATACTAGACTTGCCTGCATCATTTTGTGTGCCGGACAGGAATGTTACCTGCACCAAAATGATGCCAGGTGATTTTATCATGAAATATCTACATACCAGACAACAAGATAACATCTCTTTTACCAGAGGTTAAGTATTGCCCATTTCTTATATTTTCTTATATCTTATCTAACATAACATCAAAGGATTCAATCTTAAAATTATGATTCTATATATTTTTTTCATATTTCCTTTGCCCTATTAAGGAACTGTTAAAATCAAGACCATTTTCCTGGCATAATTATTATAAGAATGCTTTTCATTTGCTAAATAGGACTATTGGATCAAAAACCAACACAAATTAAGTATAAAACATGTTTTGCTTTATTCAGCTTCCTCAGTTGATACATCTATTTCATTTGCTAAAGACATATTTTCCAACATTAAATTGCATAAACGATTAAGCACCCAAAATCTTTAAAAAAAAATCCTATTTTGTACAAATGTTTGATTACATTATTTAATTCGATTAAATTGTCATTAAAAACTTTTTTGTCTTTACCTAAAAATCTAACATTTCATCTAATTAAAAGCTAAAAAAAATCTAAGAGATAAACCTATGCTGCCATATTTATTTTTAACAAATGTTTGGAAATTTTTTTTAAACAGAAGTTACAAAAAAATGAAATGCTCTATCAATGTCTTCAACATTATAAAAAAACCTTTAAATTAATTTCTCTATGGAAAAATTTTGTTCTATTTTAAATTCTGAATTAACAACTCAATTTTAAATCAACCATTATATTATTTCTATTCATATATTTTGGAAAATTGAAGTCTAGATTATAAAGTCACCTTTTTAACACAATGAATTTTTCAAATTTTATTTACTTGTAATATTTGTTATATCTTCAATCTAATTAATAATTTTTTTTATTCAAAATCATTCTTTAATCACTTTAGTAATATATCATTGTTACAGAATATTATTTTTATTACATTTATCACATATTTTGACAGTACACAATTCTAAGAAATTTGTATTTTGACACTGGCAGTGTTTATTCAGTACCAGGAATGTATAATTGAGATATCATATTTGACATGCCACTTGTCATGTTTAATTGTTTTGACAACATGTATAATATTTTGATTGACAAGTATGCAAATTAGGCTAGATAATAATCTGAAATTTTATGATATGGTCAATTGATACTGGTCAAGCATGCCTGAAGGATCTATTTTTAAGCTAAGAATTTTTTCAAATATAATTTTAATTTTGTTCAAAACAAAAATGATTATTTTACATTTATTTGTTTTATGGATAACATATTTTATTTTATTTTTGTAATTTTTCTTGTTTTAATTAAATAAATTATAAACATATATCAGATAGTTAGGTCTATGTAACCTGTTATTAATTTGGTACAGGTAGAAAAAATTCTTGCACCAATTTAATGCCAGGTTTACATTTCTAACACACATACAATGGGTTAACAGAGGACAGGAAAACCAGGACGACAATGGATTTATGATAAGTATTCAGGGGAGACAAACAGGACCTTACAATGGATTAAGGGGAGAACACCAAGTGAAACAGAGAGAACCAGTGCCAGATGGAAAATAGCAAAAAGGACTTTAATTATTATATACAGTTAGATGATTAGCAATGAAGAATATACATGAAGAAGAGAATGTTTACAATATTATGGAAGAGGAATTATAGAGGACCGAATTCAACTTTTAACTGCTGGCATATTATGGCATACTACCTTTCCCTGTATTTTTAATGTGCTCGCTTGAACAATATGTGCAAGCACTTATAAATGCTGGGGGGAGGTAACATGACAAAACCCAATTGTATTGCAAGAAATATTCATTTATTCAGATGCAAGTTACATTGCTTAAGATTACAGGGGAGACAACCAATGTTTACAACTTACAAAGAGAGATAACTTCAGTCAGCTAGAAATTGAGTGGATGTGACCCTGCCTTTCCAATGTGCTTGCTTTTCATATTGTGCTAGCACTTAGAAATGCTAGGGGCATGTCTATCTCTCAGTTCCTAGGATACCTCAAATGCGCTACAGTACAGAACTGGAACAGGAGGTAATATCCTGATGAATTGTTGCGAAGATATTAACACTAATCTATGGTTTCCCTGTATCCAAAAGTGCAAGTGTGAATTTATTAACTAGCACTTATAGATGCTGGGGGGATAAATAGACCATGACTCCAGAAAAAGTTGATGCTTCAAGAGTAAAGCTTTAGTAATGGAAAACCTATCAGTTTGGCCTAATTTACAAAAAACACTGTCATAGGTGGATAATATACATGTATATAATAGGTATGGAAGATAATGTTGCAGTTCGAGTTCAGCCTTGGTTACAGACGTCCTTGCCGCAGATATACCTTAGATACAAGAAAACACCATGTCACACATTGCATACAGGACACCTAATTTAAGTTGAATGGAAGTTTCTAGGTGACTGGTACTGAGACCTTGTCATACAGTTAAACTTTTCCCCAGTATTCAAAAGTGTCTGTATTATTTAACAACAAGCACTTATGTATGCTTGGGGGAGATGTTAACTATTTCTACAGGATGTCTACAGAAGGTACCAACATCAACATACAAAAAAGGTTTGAGTGTATGAAAGTCTTCACCTGGTATTCAAAAGTGCAGATATATGAAATTGACTAGCACTTATGTATGCTGGGGGAAGACCAATACATTATCAACAAAAATCATCTTAAGTGGGGAGAAGCTTCCAGAAATCATTAAGTAAAATTTCCAGCATTTGCCAAAATAAAAAGAAATCACCTGCAAACACCAAAAATGACTGTAATCACCAAAATCATGCAGTCTTCACTGAAGATGTACATCAAGGAAGAATCCGGAAAAAGACTGAGAACAGCAAACAGTTTGTTTTGTTACTTAATAAAACTTCTTATTATTGCTTTTTATCTGTTTATATAATATTCATCAAGATCCGTATGGCTGAACTTGCAGAGGAGTTATTTCAAGTCTAAAAACATTGTTGTTTTAGGTTACCTCGTATTTTCATGTGCATGTGTTCACTATATACAAGCACTTGTAAATGCTGGGGGGATTTTCAACAAAAACACAAGAACGAAGGAAGCCAGTTTATAACAATTTCTGTTGGACCGTTATTGGTACACACGGAATAGAAATTACAAGACTTTACAGAAGATGAATGCAGAATGACACAAAATTTCAAGTCTTCAACAATCAACATTTACAAAAGCAGGGAGTTTTTGAGAACGTATCATCTGATTATATACCTCTCAAAATGCATAAGGTACAAAGCACACACGATGATGGAATGGCGCACCATGCATAGAATTTTTTCAGCGAAAGAAAATGACTATAATGTCCCTAGTTTCTCCTAGTATAACTAAGTGCAAGTTTATATTGTTTACTAGCACTTACGAATGCTGGGGGAAAAGAGGGAACAGAACAACCTACATGCTGGATGAGTCTTAGAAGCAACAAACAACCATATTGGTTGCATGACAACTATTCACCTTCACTAATCAACAGTGGCTACAATTGCTGATCCATGCATTATTTTAAAGTAAGTTGAACTCAGTGTCAAAGCACCAACATACTTCAAAGATGGAAAAATTCCTGACATGGAATAATAAGACAACCGTGACAGGATTTAAGCACATAGTATCCAGAAGGAAGTGTCCTCACATAGTGCCATGGAAGATGAGTCGTAGAAATGATCTCATATGTTTTTTGCATCGTCTCTTGGTATTCACAAGTGCTTGTGTAAAATTCACCAACTAGCACTTATGTATGCCGGGGGAGGGTCAAAGATTTAAACGTCTTTAGTAAAACAGATCAACAAACTGCGGACCAAAATATCAAATCTAACAACATAATTAAAACATGCAACAATTCAAATGAAGAAGAACAGAACGCAACGAAACATGTAGAACAGAAAGATGGCCATCCAGGACTGAGAGGACCTCAAAGAATATCCCAATGTTTTCCTAGTATTTCCAAGTGCAAGCGTTACATTTCTGCTAGCACTTATGAATGCTGGGTGAGTTAAGGGAAACAACAACAATTCCAGACAACTATGAAATTACTATATTAAAATTTTGAATAAAGATATTTATTATTACATTTATCTAAACAACTTAAATCTGGGAACAGGAAACAGAAAGGTAACTCACAGAATAGAAATTAAACCTCAATGATAGGTTTTGACAGGAACAAGTCATTAAAAAGTACCCATCTGTCATCAAAACCAGACGGCCTTGATTGCAGGATCAGACACTCAAAGAAACTTAATTTGATATTATTTCCCATTTTTTGTCAGTATTCAATGTATGTCTGAACATTCAACCAGTTCTCTGACTGACAGTTGTCTGTGAAGCACATACCATATTTCATCACTTTAGTTACGTTATAATTTTATAATTTGGCTTTTTAACACAACCTACATACCCTTTTAAGCTGCCCTGGCTGTCAGAAAACCGACATTTCTATTTTTTTTCAGAACTTAAACTGTGCATTATTCTACACATATGCTGAAAGTGATATTTCCTAATTGACACTCCACACTGGTAGGTCTCAGATCCACTCCTGTGCATCATTCAATGACTTACAAGCACATAGATAGAACCAGCATTTTAAATGCTTTTTTTCTTGACCCTTTATCTTAAACTTTAGCAAATTTTATGCAATATAATGCATACCTGTAAGGGTTTTTAGCATTCCCTGTTGTTTGTCTAGTTATTGAATCTTTGAAGATTTGACGTCTGTATATTTTCTCTTCAACAGTTCCGCATGTAATAAGTCGATATATGACAACATTCTTGTCCTGACCTATTCGGAACACTCTGTCGACAGCCTGAGCATCTGTGGCTGGGTTCCAGCTTGGATCAACTGAATTAAATGTGTAAATAATTATCACATGCTTGTCAGTAAAAACTGAAATCATATTTTGACAATCTCATGGCGAAATATCAAAATATAATTTTCACAGTAGCCAGAGTATATCTGAATGCTGATGAATGCCAAATATCATTAACAAGAGGGCCATGATGGCCCTGAGGTCGCTCACCTGTATATAGCCCCCAACCCCCCCCCCACCCCCGGGCCAATTTTTACCCAAGGGCTTTTATTTGTTTATTTGAACAGACTTGGTAGACACCCATAAGAAGATGTTTCATGCAAAACATCTAAGTTCTAGCTCATTGAGTTTTTTAAAAGAAGATTTTTAAAGTTTTTACTATACACATATAGTTAAAAACAATGACACCCCTGGGGCAGGGCCAGTTTTGACCCCTGGGCTTTTATTTGAACAAACTTTGTAGATATTTACTGAAAGATGTTTCATGCTTAATATCTAAACTCTAGTTATTTGGGTTTTTTCAAAGAAGATTTTTAAGTTTTTGCTATGTTATATAAGGAAAATCAATGACCCCGGGGCGGGGCCAGTTTTGACCCCAGGGCTTTTATTTGAACATACTTGTAGACACCCATTAGAACATGTCTCATGCTAAATATCTTAGCTCTAGCTCTTTGGGTTCTTTAAAAGAAGATTTTATAAGTTTTTACTATATGCATATAAGGAAAATCAATGACCCCTGGGGAGGGCCAATTTGGACCCCAGGGGTTTTATTTGAACAAACTTGGTAGACATTCACTAGAAGATGTTTCATGCCAAATATATAAGCTTTAGCTCTTACAGTTCTTTAAAAGAAGATTTTTTAAGTTTTTACTATATGCATATAGGGAAAATCAATGACCCCTGGGGCGGGGCCAATTTTGACCCCAGGGCTTTTATTTGAACAAACTTGGTAGACATTTACTAGAAGATGTTTTATGCCAAATATCTAAGCTCTAGCTCTTACGTTTCTTTAAAAGAAGATTTTTTAAGTTTAAACTATATGCATATAGGGAAAATCAATACCCCCCAGGGCGGGGCCAATTTTGACCCCAGGGCTTTTTATTTTGAACAAACTTGGTAGACATTCACTAGAAGATGTTTCATGCCAAATAATCTAAGCTCTAGCTCTTTGGGTTCTTTAAAAGAAGATTTTTTAAGTTTTTACTTTATGCATGTAGGGAAAATCAATGACCCCCTGGGCGGGGCCAATTTTTTGACCCCAGCGGCTTTTATTTGAACAAACTTGGTAGACACTCACTAGAAGATGTTTCATTGCCAAATATCTAAGCTCTAGCTCTTACAGTTCTTTAAAGGAAGATTTTTTAAGTGTTACTATATGCATATAGGGAAAATCAATGACCCCCCGGGCGGGGCCAATTTTGACCCCAGGGCTTTTATTTGAACAAACTTGGTAGACACTCACTAGAAGATGTTCCATGCCAAAAATCTTAGCTCTAGCTCTTACAGTTCTTTAAAAGAAGATCTTTTAAGTTTTTTACTATATGCATATAGGGAAAATCAATGACCCCCGACGGGGCGGGGCCAATTTTGACCCCAGGGCTTTTATTTGAACAAACTTGGTAGACACTCATTAGAAGATGTTTCATGCCAAATATCTAAAGCTCTAGCTCTTAGGTTTGTTTTAAAAGAAGATATTTTAAAGATTTTTCTTTCGGTTCTGCCATGGCAACCCAGAGTTCTGCTTTGTTTTAAATTCTTTAAACAATTTTTTAAGGGACCCCCAAAGGAACTTTTCCTGTAAATTTTTGGTTTAAAAAATTTCAGTGGTTTTTTGAGGGGGATTTTATTTAAAGCGAAATTTTTAGGGAGGACGACGGAGGAGGACGCCGGAGGGAAAAGCGATCAAAAAAGCTCACCCTGTATTTTTGGGGAAGGTGACCCTAAAAATGGGGTTACCATGAAAATGTGATTGATAATTTTTGAAGAATTAAATTTTTTGAATTCGTGTTAAAAGTAAAAAAAAATTATTAAAAAATCCCAAAAAATTTTTTTAATGGGAAACACGTATTCCGCAGAAAAAAATATTTAAAAAATTTTATAAGCATAAAAAACATTAAAGGTTTAGAAATTTCTTTTTTTTGCATGTAAGACAATTTTTATAATGAAAGGGATAAAATTTATATATAAATTTGAACACCAGTATTTTTAAAAAATAATTTGGTTTTTCCCTTTTGTGAAAAAATTTTTTAAATTTTTAAATTTTTGCAAAAAAAAATCCCCCTTATATATTAAAAGCTAAACATTGTTTGATGGTTTAATTTGTCAAGGAAATTTTTGGATAAATTTTTATGTCTTGTTAATTTTACTTGAAACCCCCAAAAATTTAATTTAATTTAAGAAGTAAAATTTATTTATTATTGGGGACAGGGTGCTTTGTCAAATACAAATAACAATGTTATGTTTTCAATTATAGCCCCGGCCCCGGGGGCCCCTATAAGTCACCTTTTGAAATAAATTTTCTTTAATGAAAACATAAAATTTAAAATTTTAAAAATTCATGGTATAAACAAAAAATAAATTTAAACCTGATTTCTGGTTAATGTTTTAAAAACAATATTTAAAGGGGGCCTCAACGTTTAACTTTATAGGGAAAATTTTTTATTATCTTTGGGTCTTATTTTTGGATTTTACAGTTTTTTTTTTTTTGAATAAATTGTTTTGGGCCTACAATAAAGGGCCCCAGCAAAAATATATTTAGACTTTTTTAAAACAAAGGTATTTTGTCATTAAGGTTTTCGAGTTTGTTTTTGGTTTAAACTGGTTTACAAATGAAATGTCTTTTTAATAAGTTGTCAAAAAGAAAATTTTTCTAACATTTAATATAAACAGCTTTTCAAATTTAAAAAGTGTCTCGTTTCAAAATGGCCCCGGAATTTAAAAAAGTGTAAGTGTCTTTTTAAAGGTTCGCCGCCCATATAAAAATTTATCGAAAAGGGTTTAAAATGCCAGTCCTGAATTGAGCTAATAAGGGCCCTTTTTCTTTTTTTTAATTAAAAATAAATTTTCCTCATTTTTAAAATTTCCCCTTTTGAACGTCTGTATGTTTTAATTTTGGTAATTTTTGGTATGTTTCGGGGCCCTTTTATTTTTAAAAATAATAATATTAAGAGTTTTGTTTTGAGAGAGTTTACCGGGAATAAAGGGTTTAAAAAGTTATCATTCAACCCAGTGTGTACTTTAACTGTTTTTTAAACCCACTGCCCCAAATTTTAAATTTGAGCATTTTTATAGTCTGTTTCAAAAAATTTGTTTGTCGTTGTTAGTATCCTTTAACACTAATGTTTCCCAGAGGGTAAATAGGGGCCCAAATCTACAAAAAAAAACCGGGTGGGGAAACCCAGCCGGGTTTTCCCCAAAGGCATGGAATACGGGGGGTAAATCAAATGAGGGCCCATAAAATTCTAGGGGGCGCGTTTTTGGATATTATCTATTTTTGGGGAAATGTTTTTCCCCCAAAAAGAGCCCAGTAGCAAGTTTTTTGGTAAAAACCATATTTTGTAAATTTTTTCAAAGTTTTTAAATCCGCCCTTTTGTAGTTGTGTATTTTTTTTTATAATGCTACCAAATTGCCGCCCGGGGCCCCTTTTTGTAAAGCATCACAGTTTTTTTAGAAAAATCATGTTTTTTTGGAATATTACGCCTGGGTATTTTTTTAAGACTCGACGGTTTTTTTGGTCGTTGTCCCCAATTTTCTAAATTTTTAAATCGTTCGTTGCCCCCTTTCCTTTTCTAAATTTAAATACTTTTTTTGTTTTTTACTAGTTTTTTAGAACGCCCCATTTTTTTACCCCAAAGTCAGGGAAATATTTTTTAACTTTGTTTTGAAATTTTTCTTCAGAATCTGAAAATCAAAACATTCGCTGCGTACAAAGTGGGTTTTTTTAATATCATCCATAGGCCGCCAAGGTAAAGGTCTTTAATTTTTTCTGCAAGATTGGCGAAGATGGAAAATGGGTGTCGGTGATAATGTAAACCCCTGTTGCCCCCGTGAAAACCAGTCAAAACCCAGTTATCATTTTCTGATTTTTTTCCACCACAAATGGGGGCTAGCGTATTTTGTTTTTTAAAAATTTACATTTTTTTCCGTCTATGTTGTTTTTAAAGAAGCTTGTAAAAAGCTTTTCTCGGGTTATGTAATCGAAAACGTTTTAAGTCAAAAATGCCGAAAAACCCCGATTTATTGGTTGCGTAAAATTTATTTTAAAAGGGGAAAACACGGGGTCCTAAAAAGATCTTTTGAGGGGAAATTCCTTTTCTTTTTCATCACCCTAGATTTTGGCCCCTTCAGATATTTTTTCAGTCTTTTTTAAAAAAAGGGCCATTATATTTTACTTATAAAAAGAAAACCGGGGCTTATTTCCAGGGAAAAAGTTTTGGGTATCGTGCTCTGATTCGGGATTTTTTTGATGTTTGGGGGAAAATTTAAACAGATTTTCTCCATTTTTGAGGTTTATAATGCTTAAAAGTGAATATCTTTTGGGAAAAAAAATTTTTGTAGAAGGGAGTTTAATTAACCGGATACTTTAGACGGTGTACGGAATATTTCTGCAAGCAAAACCCAATTTCGTTTTTTTGACAAAAAAATGAACACTTTTCCCCACTGTGATGTTCGAAATTTAACGTATAAATTTTGGGTTATAGGGGGTTCTGCAATATTATTTTCTAGAAAGTTTTATTATTTTTGGCCCGTTTATAAAAAGCCCCTATCAAAATGTTATCTTTCCTGTGAATTTTTAAATTTTCTAAAAACCCTGTTCCAGGGGCCCCCGAAAACAACGTCCTCGTACGTAGGGTTTGTTTCCCAGACTTTTCCATATTTAAATTTAGGAATTTTTTTAACGTTTTGGGGCCCCAATTTTTAAATCTTGCCCCAAAATTTTTTGGGAAATATTTGTTGACATATGTTAAATTTCCCAAGGGCTTTTGATTGTCTATATATACGTTAACATTTTTTGAGCTCTTTCCCCCGAAA